ACTATTTCTTCCAAAATGTTGCTATCAATTGCTTAAAAAATAGACATAGCATCTTCTTTTTGATATTGCGGTTGAATCTGTCTGACCTCTGCATAACTTGAGGTTGTGCTAATCACCTTCCTGCTATTAATGATCTTCTCAGACAAGAAGGAAGCAAACTCATTGCATTTGCTGTCAGAGAGCATTTCACTGGGAATCTGACTTGGGGGGGTTTGTCAGTCTCTCAACAGTAGCAAAAAGAGTGCGAGTGTTGTTTTAGTTACTGTTTATAAGGTTTGAGAAGAAACTCTGTCTGGCAGTGGCTAGTTCCACATTGAAATACTGCCTTTATAGATGCTATAGTGAATTTCAAGTTTCATCTTCTGCCACATCCGCTCAGCTTTTCTGCATTGTCTTTTCATACTCTGTACTGGTGTTGATTTTCTCCAAGCTGATTTTTGTCTGCCAGTCTTCTTGCTGACTTTCACAGGAGCAATATTATCAATAACATTCTTAACTTTTGAGTTAAAGGAATTAAGGAGAAGATCAACAGAGTCTGCAGACATGCTTGGTGTTAAAGATGTAGCCTCCATAAATAGCACACTAGTGTTCTTTGTTAATGCATCTCTTTCTGACAGAGACAGATCTAGATTCAGTGGTAGCAGAGATCAATATATCAAAGAAAATACAGAAGTGATCAGATAGTGCTATGTCCTTAATAACAATGTATGAAATGTTTAGACCCCTACTGATGATTAAATCTAGACAATGTCCACGTTTGTGTGTGGGTTCATGCACATGCTGAATCAGGTCAAAAGTGTTTAAAACAGTTATAATTTCTTTTGAAGTTTTGATTTCTGCATTGCAAAACAGTCAAACTCTGAGGAAATCATTGATAACATTTCTGTAAACTCTTCAACAAAGGCTGGAGAGTATTTTGGAGGTCTGTGAATAATGATAAACAGAATGCGTGGAGCACCTTTCAGCACAATCCCTAGATATTCAAAAGACAACTACTGACCAAATGACACTTGCTTGCATTGATAGACATCTTTAAATAGAGCAGCTACACCTCCACCTCTCCTAACAGTCCTGCAGACACTCATGAAAGTAAAGTTGTAAAATGCTAACTAGATGGCATTGCTTTGTGTCTTTACAGCAATCTCATTTTGGTGCATAATAGGCTGCAGATTAGATGAGTCAGCTGTTCGGCTTGAGAAGGCCTTAGACTTTCTATCACGTGATAAAACAGAAATAGAGAAAGCTACAGGCACACTGGGTTCCCACTTGTTCTGTAAACATTTGTGAATGTAGCTGCTATCATAAACCCGGTACATATCACTGAGAGCTGCTATGAGCTGTTTTTGGTTCACCTACAGCAGATGGAGGGTTTGGACCCTGGCGTTGTGGCAGCGGCCGGAGAGCTCTCACAGGAGGAGGACGACGAGCTGGGCCCACAGGCTTTGGTGGTTGGGGGGGCCTGCCGTTTTTTTAGTTGATATCTGGGGGCTTGCAGCGAATGAGTGGGAGAGTTTGGTCCCAGCACAGACCAGTTCCTCCATTTTCTGTGAGAAGCATAGAAGTGGAGATGCTGGAGAGTGGAGAGGAGGACGACGAGCTGGGCCCACAGGCTTTGGTGGTTGGGGGGGCCTGCCGTTTTTTTAGTTGATATCTGGGGGCTTGCAGCGAATGAGTGGGAGAGTTTGGTCCCAGCACAGACCAGTTCCTCCATTTTCTGTGAGAAGCATAGAAGTGGAGATGCTGGAGAGTGGAATAATGTGTCTGGTGAGATGGGCTGTGTCTCTGGTGTTTCCGGTGGCTGTTTTCCAGAAAGTCGTCCTTGGGTGCTGAGTCTTGAAGCTGTTCTGATACGTCACAGTCTGTCTGTGATGAGCTCTGTGGGCAGGGCTCAGCCGGGATGTTGTCCATGAGCAGTGCTTGTTGTGGCTGC